GTTATATAAAAAATATATAATATATATTACTAGCACCCTATTTTATATATGTTTAAAATATTTTTAAAAAAAACAGTGGAGAAGAGTTCCTAAATTATATTTTATTCATGTTAAAAATATATAAAATTCCTATCATATATGTATTTTAAATATAGCTATTTATTTTGGTAAATATATTTCAGAAATATATTATATAATCATAATAAATATTCTTGATATTTATTGAATATATATCTTATCAACTCAAATAATTTTATGTAAAAAATATATAATATATATTACTAGCACCTTATTTTATATATTTTTAAAATATTTAAAAAAAAAATTAGAGAAAAATTCCTAATTTATATTTTATTCATGTTAAAAATATATTATATTCCTATCATATATATATTTTAAATATATCTATTTATTTTGGTAAATATATTTCAGAAATATATTATATAAACATAATAAATATTCTTGATAATAATTGAATATATATCTTATCAACTCAAATAATTTTATATAAAAAATATATAATATATATTACAAGCACCCTATTTTATATATGTTTAAAATATTTTTAAAAAAACAGCCGATAAAAATTCTTAAATTATATTTTATTCGCGTTTAAAATATATTATATTCGTATCATATATATCTTTTAAATATATCTCAATATTTTATGATCAATATTTACCTACCTACTTAATTATAATAAATAATATTGATTTTCATTAAAAACCTACATAATTTATCAATTCAAATAATTTTACATAAAAAATATATATTATATCATATATTAAGTATATATTTTTAACACGAGCAATAAGTATATTATATCTTCACAATCTGCCGCCAGGTGGCCGCAGTATTGCCCGATTCCTTGCAGTCAGCAAGATCATATTTAATAAATAAAAATTGAAACTTTTATTTTTTGAACGGGAAAAAATAAAAAATATACAAAATATGACTAAAATATTCCAAAACCTTGGATTTCAATGTATATTGCCAAATTTTGTTTCATTTTCACTCTAAACAAACCATGCAGCCGCACCTTTTCTGTGCCAAAAACTATAATACAAAATACAATCCCAATTACCGGTGGCTATTCGGTTGATTGATGATGGGTTTAGCAAAAAAGTAGTGACAAAATATAATGAAACGTCGGATTTCAATGCAATGCGCTAAATAAAAATCACTTTTATATTCTACATAAAAGTCGCAAGACTAAACATTCAAAATTGCCCAATCTGACAACAATGACTGTTCGGCCATCTTGCTTGCCCATCTTCCACCGCGCCACCGCGGGTCGCCCTCTGCTCGAGTGCTCGACTCCAAGACCGTACAGCCACATGCAATGCGCATTGGATCTTAGAATTAGCTAAATATAAACGTGTTTCCTGATTTCTCTAATTGTCTCTCTATTAATATAAAGTAAACTTTGTGGTCTTGTGATTGTGGTGAAATAAAATGAATAATGGCATAATGGTAATTGCCAATATTATATTAAATTAATCAGTTACGAGTACCTAGTTCTTTGTTAGTCTGTGTTTACAGTAGGTAGGTACAAGAAATAAAATAAAAGTTGAATAACTTGCAACTTCTTATTTCATTTTATTTTATGCGAAAATGAATTCATTTTATACTTATGCCTATCGGATTTTCGTTTTGTTTTCGAAAAATATCTACATATAACCACACTTTTGATTGGGTTTATTTATGCTTTTTTGTGTTTTTATGGTGTTATCCTGGGTTAGATAGGTACCTATATAGTGTTTCTTATTTTATATTTGAATATCCAATAACCAATAAATGTCAACACATTTCTTGGCTTGGTAAAGCCGGCACCACACATGCGGCATTTGCCGAATAGCGAGCAACGAATGTTAATAACTTGTTTTAACTTCGGGGCTCACCTGTAGCTTTTGGTTTGGACACCCCCTGCTTGCTCCCTAGATCTATTAAACTTTCCACATTCAAGAGGATTGATACCCTACCTGCATTTTTGCAAAACTAGTTTGTGAATTGTGACTAAGATATTTGATGAAAAGTCATGAAATTTTGCATCTGCTTGGGGAATTAGTCACAGGTCACAGAATGGTGGAAAATTGTTTAGGAAAAGAAACTACCCAATGGAGTTTTTTGACGACCCATTAAATGCGAGGTATAGGGCTGCAAATCACTTTCCACCTTTCCACCTTTCCACCTTTCCACTAATCCTCCATGCACATGCAAAATTTCATGAATTTTTATCAAATATCTTAGTCACAATTCACGAACTAGTTTTTCTAAAAATGCACTGAATGCAGGTAGGGTATCAGGCCTCTGAATCATTTTTTGTGAATCTATAGTTTTCCTTTATCCTGTAAAAGGGTTACTTTTGAGTTTACTGTTTGTGGTTTAAAATTTATTGTTGTTTTCTAGATTGTTTTGTTACCAAGTTTGGGTTAGTTTTTACCTTAGTATGTATTAAGTAGGTAAACTAATTTAAGATAAGGACAGGAATTATTTTGATTGTAGGTTTCAATGAGGTTATACCTAATTTTCACAATGATACCTTTTCATCTCCTGTCGAAATGTGGGAATCGTAATCGCTTAAAGACCTTTAGAGATGGCACAGAAAAGATGAATAATTATGAAAGTGACACTGATGTGGACGTTGATATCAAAAGATGTAAACTCTCCTGCAACTCAGCAGGCTTACCAACAAACAATTTGTCACAACTATCTTCTTCAAGTAGTGGCTCTGAGATTCTAGAAACTAGCTATTATGAAGAAAACCAAATTAATCCTGGTAAAAACAGTCCAAAAAAATATAACAATTTCTTCTGTTAATAATTTTTGCCATGAGTCTGAAACAACTCAAGAAACAACTTTTGAAACTGTTTCGAATCCTGAAGATTTTATTGAACCAATTCAGGAAGAATGGTTTCCTACTTTTTATGGCTCAAGTGATGAATCATTATCCGACGAGGAAGAGTTAGTTGTTCAGCCTATTAAATCTACTAGTGTAACGGAGCAAACAAAACAATTTCTACGTGAATGGTCTTTAGAAAATAATATCACCCATAAAGCATTAGGTTCATTGTGCAAAGGTTTAAAATCCATTTTTGCTCTTGACTTAGATAAGCTACCTCTAGACCCAAGGACAATTTTAGAAACACCAACAAGCATTAATGCACTGTCAATTGGAAATGGACATTATATTCACATTGGTTTAAAAATTCACTTAAACTTTATCGCATCTCTTGTTAAAAAGCCATTATCTTCTTTATCGTTAATTTTTAATGTTGACGGTCTCCCCGTATTTAATAACAGTACTACAGGTGAACTGTGGCCTATTTTAATGGCTGCACCATGTATTGAAATATTAAGCCACAAAGTTTTTCCGATTGGATTTCATTTTGGTGTCGGTAAGCCTGTAGATCTTGAACTATACTTTTCTGAGTTTCTCACCGAGCTTCAAGATGTTTTGACAAATGGATTTGTTTTTAATGATAGAAAAATTAATGTGACAGTTCTGGGATTTTCTTGTGTTGTTCCAGCTCGCAGTTACATTATGGGAATAGTTGGCCATGCAGGTTTTTTTTCTTGTGCTCGATGTACTATAAAAGGCAAAACTGTGGAACGTCGGAGAGTTTTTACTGAGCTAAACTGTCCGTTGCGAACCGATGAGCAATTTAGAATTCGTATGGATAAGTATTTTCAACCTATCGATAGGAGCACTCCATTAATAAATTTAAGGCCGAAATTAAATTTTGTATCGGACTTTATTTTGGAGCCTATGCATCTAGTTGATTTAGGGGTAATGAAAACTCTTCTGCAGGTATGGAATTCTGGGGGCATACCCTTATAGTTATCAGCAAATCAGAGGTCATTAATTTCTTTAGACTTGTTAAACTTGCGAAAATTTATACCCTTGGAATTCGCTAGAACACCTAGAGAGTTTAAAATTGTTGGCAGGTGGAAAGCAACAGAATGCTGAATGTTTTTGCTTTATTTGGGCATAGTAGTTTTAAAGGATAGACTAACTGAAATCAAGTATGAACACTTTATTTCTTTACATCTAGCCATCTCTATTTTATCCCAGCCATATTTATGCTCTTTAAAAGAGAATCGTGAATATGCTAGACAGCTATTAATTTACTTTGTATCAAAGGTTCCTAAACTTTATGCTGAATATTTATTGACTCACAATTTTCATTCACTTATCCATCTTGTAGATGATATGGATCATTTCATTAATCTTATTCCTAATTTTTCTTTGTCAGATATTTCAAGTTACCGGTTTGAAATTTTTTTGTATAGTTGTAAGAAATTGGTCCGAGGCAAATCCAAACCACTTGCCCAAATAGGACGCAGAATTGGTGAATTATTCCAAAGTTCGGCTCTTCAAAACAAATACGCTTCTACAAAGACTGCAGGCTTACATCTAGTTTCTCCTCACAATAACGGTCCTTTGATGGCGTTCACTTGTGGCCCTCAGTTTAGTGCTGTTCAGATGTCAAATTTCAAACTTACCATTAATTCTCCTAACAATTGTTGCGGTTTGAAAAATGGAGACATTATGTTAATCAGAAATATTGCATACTCATTGGAGATAAGACAGCAAGTTATTATTGGTACAAAGTTTGTGGGTTTAAGTGATTTTTATTCCTTGGGTGAATGTAAAAGCTCTTTTTTAAAAATACATAAAGTCAAAAGGGTATCTGAAATATTAATGACACCTCTCTCAGAAGTAAACAAAAAGTATGTTTGCTTACCCTATAAAGACAGTTATGTTGTGATTCCTGTTCTACATTCTGAACTGTTGGTTTCAAAGTTGAACTTTTAAATTTTTTATCATAATTTTAATTAATATACATTACAACCTCGATTATTTTATATTAAATAATTTTTATTTAAAGAGCATTTTTAATTTTTCAAATCTTGAAATTATACTTTCACTACAATTCTTATTACCTTATTGTTAATTAGGTAGTTATATTTAAAAATAACTTTTTCACATCTTTCCCAAGTCCCCTGGCTGTCAAAAAAGTAATATGTGGAGCGTAATTAAAAAACGTAATGATCTAGAATATGATGTTGTGCCCAACAGTTGGTTATGCTTGGAAAAAAATGTTACTTTCCATCCCACATTAACAACTTGGCACAGTTGAAAAGAATGGTCCGAAAATGTGCACCAGTTGAATCTTCCTGGGAAGTTATGGAAATAGAGATAAAAAAACGCGACTATGGTAAGTTTTTTTTTCTTATTCTTTGGTCTGCCCTAAATTCTGTCACTTAGTTCCCAGGATTAACTTACACAATTCATGTTCCTCCATATGTTACCATATACCTACTTACTGATAAATTTAGAAGTGTAATGGCCGTTTGCACCAACGATTTTAAGGGAGCCTTAACGATAAGTATTCCTTAATGTGACATTTTCCCATGTAAAAATTTCAATTTAAGCAATACTTATCGTTAAGGCTTCCTTAAAATGGTCGGTGCAAACGGCCATAAACCTCTTTGCTGTTTGTTCTAGTTTAAACTGTTTAGATTTTACTACCTGCTAAATTTAGTGAAATTTCGCGTTTTTTCACTTCGAAATCAATTGTGTTCACACTGAGTAAAAAATTTACCAAAACCAGGTCAAATTTTAAATATGGAAAATAAAAAAATTACCTAACTGTATTATGATACCTACACTTTTTAATTGCACCAATTAAATAAAAACGTCTGCAATAGTTTACTTGCTTTTTGCTTTAAGTTCTAAGTGAACAAGTTAAATTAAAAATAGTTTACTTAGGATTATTCAACTTATCTGTGAAAACGTGTTCATGTTTAACTACAGTAATTAAATACATCTAAATTGAATAAACTTTTAATTTATATCAATTAAACTATTCTTCTAATCTATTAGGTGACTTCTTTTTTTGGTTTAACAAAAACTAATCTATTAAATCATTTCAAATTTTTAATTAAAAAGCCCACGAATATACAGGGTGATTCAAAAGTAAGCGGCATCCTTTCGGGGGCGTATTCCTTGCATAAAAATAAGACAAAAAGTTCCTATTAACATGGGTCCGGAAATGCTTCCTAAGAGAGCTACGCACCTTCGAATAGGACACCTGAAAGACGTGTTTTTCTCTATAACTTTGAAACCTTTCACAAATGGATTTTGAAAATTGGTGTACTTCATAAACATTTGATGACAATTAAGATACCGAATTGGAAATTCAAAAATCTTAATCAGTGGCGTCACTACTGGGGAGGGTGAGGGCTAAAACATCCCTATTTTTTTTAATATTCAAGATTTTGAAATTCTGATTAAAAATTCGGAAAGTTTCAAGTTTTTTACACAGAAAAGGTACTCTTGGTTCAATTCGATACAGCGTACCGTTTACGAGAAAATTGACTTTGAAAATTTTCTGTTTTACGTTTTAACCCTCACCCTCCCCAGTAGTGACGCCACTGATCAAGATTTTTGAATTTCCAATTTAGTATCTCAATTGTCATCAAATGTTTATAAAATACACCAATTTTTGAAATCCATTTGTGAAGGGTTTCAAAGTTATAAGGTGTCCTATTCGGAGGGGCGTAGCTCCCTTAGGAAGCATTTTCGGACCCATGTTAATAGGAACTTTTTGTCCTATTTTTATGCAAGGAATACGCCCTCGAAAGGATGCCGCTTTCTTTTGAATCACCCTGTAATTGTATTATCATCAGTTAATCAATATAAATTTAAACAGCGATTAGCTAAACTTTAATACATGTAACGTACAGTACATGTATTAAACATGTTTAAATCAAATCAGATTATTCATGCTAATAACACAATGCGTTTTATACACGTCAAAATCGATAGAAACATTAGGACTATATTATTATTCAAAATGCACTACATACATACTTTTACCTAAATTTGCGATTTGAATTCATAAATACTTTATCTGAATCAAGAAAAAAGAAATTGTTTTGTAATATGTATAGTTAAGACGAATTGAAATAAGTAAATCTTGTAATTACAAATCTTAAAATAATTTCTTATTCTAAATAAACAGATTTAATAGTTTATTAAAACAATTTTTTTTTGAAATTTAGGGCTTTATTAAACAGGGTGTCTTGAATACCAAATCCCACTTTTGTTATCTCCAAAACGATAAGAACTACGAGGTCGGTTAAATGTTAAATTAGAGAAAAGTTTATGATGCCCGTTCAAGATTCGTCAACTTGATCTTTTTGAATACCGACCTGGATTTTTTATTTTAGATTTAAAGAGCTTCATATTTCCCAAAACCATAGACGTATCGCACTTATTCGAAAATTTATTTTATTTTTACTTTGTAGTAAGTTCCTACCCAAATTCTCTTCCACAATTAGTTCCTATGGAAAGTGTTAATAATATGAATTTATCGCATAAGTGTGATATGTCATTGGTTTTGAGACATCTGAAGCTCTTTAATTTAAAATATCAAATTTAGGTCCGTATTTAGAAAAATTAAGTTGGTGGTGTTGGCTCGAATACCAAACGTCGGAGATGAAATTTGGAGGTACTGTGTTTGAAAACTGAAAAGCGAACAAAATTATAAATCTTTCGAATTCAAATTGTGTCCCAAAAATCAATAGTTTCTGAAATAATCAATAAGATATTTTTAGGCGATTCTTATAAATAGTTCTGTAATTCCAGAAAGTTTACAGAAAATTGAGAACTCTATGAACGGATCATGAATAAGCATCAAAAAAGGGAAACTTTTCTCTAATTTCACCGACCTCGTAGCTCTTACCGTTTCGGAGAGAGCAATAGTGGGACATTGTATTTAGGACACCCTGTATATCTATTTCCCATCGTTCGTTTTCAGAATCATACGAACGTGCAATGGGTGATGCGATACGCTTCTCAAAAAGTAAAAAATCCATTTCTTCCTCTGAGAATGAAGCCATAGGAAAAAGAAATCCCAAGAAACTAATTTACTCTGATGAGGATGTTACTGACGATGATGATATAAGTGAAATTGTTGACAAGCTAGCTACAGAATCTGAAGACAGTGACATGGCCAACACAACTCCAAAGGTTCCTATTCCACCAGCACCTAGTTTACCATCAAAAAAAGACAATTCAGTACAAAAAACGGACAAACCACCACTATCAAAAACACATATTATTGACAATTTTGTGCCGCCAAGGATCGGTGTGCACTTGCCAAAGGAAAGAATCATCATTGTGCTTGTGACCAGCCTATCACAATGCAGTCTTTGGCTCACAGTTTATGTGCTATTTCACGTAAAACTAATAATTTATGTCTTGATTATATCAACTTATTTATAATTTATTTTAGGTCAAGTAGAACGATTGACATCCCAAAATAAAAATGCAAATCTAGAGACATTGAGCCAAATATCAGAGTTAAAATCACTGAATGGAGAGAAAAATGATCATAAACTGCCTGTTCTACAGGATTCTGACGAGGAAGCAGAGACAAACAAACTTCTGGAAAATATGCCTTTAAAAGAAATCCAAGCTCTCAAAGATTTTGATTTAAAAATGAAATCACATAAAAATTATTATCATGCCATGGTAATATTTTTATTTTATTTTTTATTAATAAATATTTTTGGTTGAATTTATTTCATAAGGATCTATGAGGTAATCAATTTTAAAAACGTATCTTCTAATTGTAGATATCTGCTCTCCAAGTCCGGGCAAATACCAAATCGTCAGTTAAAACCGCTAGGAGCATTATTGGTCTGTTAATCCACCCCCAACTTTGCTCCAAACTATCCTGGAAGGGCGTACAAAGAAAGGATCACACTGATAAGAAAACATCGTTCAAAGACTTACAAACTTGCCATTTGATTTTTCGTAAGTTCCCTTATCGTTACTATATTATTTAAAAACAAAATGTGGAAGTTTGTCTTTAATAATTTTGAAATCCCCTCATTTAAACCTTTAAATTAATATTAATATCACAACCATTATACCTACTCACTGAAAATTATAGGGCATAAAAAAAATTAACTGACCATATTTAACAAAATAGGTTATAAATTTGGAAGAATACCAATTTTCAGCTCTTTTTCTTTTTATCAGGTGTCACAAGAAATCTTTTCCCAAATTTGAAGTCCGATGACGTGGCAAAAATTGAAACTACCCTTTCAAACTGGCTGGCCCAAACTGGCTGTGCTGCCAAATCCAAGGACTTGGAGACATAGGCTTTTTAATTATCCAATTTTTTTGCATGGTTATATTTTTAAAAACTACTTTACCACACCGCTTAATGAGTATCCAGAGTCCTAGCGTTTTTGTTTGCAATATTTTTCACAATTCCTATTCCAGAACTAGTTTTTTTTTTCGAAATGCAATAAATGCAGGTAGGGTATCAGGCCTCTCAAAGGAAAACACCAAATATTCATATTCGGCAATTATTGTGGCTGATGCAGTTGAAAAAAAATTGTTCTGGATATGGACATAATTATTCAACCCATTAATTATCAAGGATTTTTTGGCGTTTTCCTTCATTATTTTGTGTAGCTTTACTTTAATAATCTCTGTGAAATAAAAAAAAGTTTAAATCCCTACAAAAGTTCTTGCTTTATTTAAGTCCAGCAATACAACTTACAATTTTCTATTATGGTTTTTTTTATTTGCTAGCATTTACTTTACATTTAATCGGACGATAGGTACTTAATTTAATTTTATTTTTTTTTTTCAAACTGCTTTTGGGAGATGAAAAAGCTTCCAAATACAATAGAGAAATGCAGGTCCATATTTAAAAAATTAAAGTTGATGATGGTCGGCCAAAGACAAAACGTCGGATTTAAAATTTAGCTACACCATTGTGTAGAGGGGAAAAAGTTGCCCCATTAATGTGTAATTATGAAATATCTTTCCAAATGAGCCCAGGCAAAAATAAAAACCATTTGCAAAATTTTGATATTTTCTCTCTGGAAGGAAACAGGTAATTGGGTGCCCCAAGACATTTAAGAAAAAACCCTCTTTCCCGTCCATTTTTGATTTAAGGGGGAACCATATCTGTGGTGTTTTCACCTCCTGGAGGGCAAAGCCCTAGCGGGGGTGACAAGGTTCCCCAAAATTTTAAATGGAATTACGGGTCACCTTTTACTGTCGCTAGGTTTTTGCCCTTGAGGGGGTGAAAATGTCAAAAAAATAGTTCCCCCTTAAATTAAAAATCGCCCGATACGAGGGTTCTTTCTTAAATGTCTTGGGGCGCCCAAAATTACTTCTGTTTCCTTTTCAAATGGCCACCTTGTATATATTAAAACTATTTATTATTTACAACGTATTCAATATATATTTTCTATATCGTAAATATAATATAAATATACTGAACTCTATATATTTTATATGTATTTGCTATGGTGCAAATATATTATTTTATAACACAAAAAAATATTTTAAAATCAATTTTAATTTGGGAAACATATTTTATAAATATCATATAAATATACTGAAAGTGGTTATCTTCCATATATTTTATAAAATAAATATGATATTTTATAACATATTTTTTTGATATTAATATATCAAATTTTGCTACTTGGGCTGGTTCAAAAATTTAACGTAAGTTTTTGTTTCAAAATACTTTTATGGTTTTATGCTTAGCTGCAAGAAATTTAAGCGTGGCTACCAAACGTTCCGCTGGAGATACTGGTTCTCGCATGGCAGTATGCTTTGTTAATCCTTCTTTCACCATATCTCCAAAGTTGTACTGTACATTCTAAAACTATAAAGCTTGTTTGGCCTCAGTGGCTTCAATAAAAGCGAATGAATTACGAGTTTCTTTTTCTAGTAACCATTTTTTACCCATTCAATTCATTGCCCACATCTGAATGAACTATCGAAGAAAAGACGGGAAATGTGGATAGCAGCTATAAAGAGGGATGATTTAACAGAGTCCGTCTTAAAATACCAACGAGTTCGCAGCAAGCATTTCCATACAGGTAAATAAAAGTATACATATTCTTATGAAGTATCTAGATGTTTTATGCCTCTAGAGTCAAACGCTTACCCTTTAAGACATTGTTCAAGCCTACAATGCTACAAGTACCATAAATATTCGTATTGGATTTACTGATGGCAACATTATGACTGCAGCCTTGAAGGAAAATCCATGCATGCATGTACTTGATAAGTTTACTATTTTGTATATCTGAAAATTAGAATTATGTTTAATAGGTACCTACGAATATTTTGCTTTTCTTCAAAGTAAACCAAGTACTTCAATCAAGTAATGAGAATCATCCAGATTGGGTCCCATCACTACATTCGGGTCATGAGTCAGAGGCTTTTTCAAAACGCAAGACCGATGGCAATAGACAATTGAGGATGGATAAAAGGAGAAAGATAACCGATGAAAATCTTGTAAGTACTCACTCGTTGTTTCTTTGTTGTGAAATATATAAGTAAACAGTGGCCAACCAAGTAAAATGTAGATACTGCAGATACCTTTTTTTTTTCTTCAATTTGTAACCTGATGAGGAAAATATTCTTGAAGCTGAAGATGTGAAACGAGATATAAAAGAAGTTGAGACTGTTCGTGCCCCACAAACAACCCTCACAATAAGTAGTTTGTCAAAAAAAATTGGAGCAGCTCGAGTTTGCATCGAAGAAGATATCTATGTTAGAAAAAAAGGTTGAAAAATTTCCGTTGGGTTTAATGGACAACGTTGAAAATATCAACATGTGGAAATATAATACTGGTTTGGATTATGAATTTATCAACACCATTATACTTCCAAAGTTAGAACCATATGTAACCAGTCTTCAAGAAAAAAAAAATTAAAAAAAAAGTGCTTTGATTAGGAAAACGTACGTCGCCTTCTTGTTTCTTTATTGGTCAGGATTTTTGACATGACATTTTGACACAAAATTCAATGACAAAATGTTGCTAAGACATATGTTTGAGACATCATAGCCATCTTTGATATATTTTTTTTTGAAGACCCGTTATGTACAGTGTGGTCATTTTATCTTGATAACATTTTAAACTGTCATAACTTTTTTATTTTTAAAGTTATTTAAATAAATGAAGAAACATACTGTAGGGTTGCTTTTCAAGTTTTAGATAGGATGGACAAAAAACAAAAGACTAATATATTTTGACAGTTATGCGCACAAATAGCATTTTTTTAAATGGATCACCCAGTAAATTTTTAGTTTGTTTGATAATGTTTCATTCTGATTGCAATAATATACAATAGAATACAATTATTGAATACAATTCTCTTTATATTTACATACAGAAATGTTCTATTTATTCTAACTGAAAATATTGATTACCTACACAAATTCCCTGTAAAGGTAGGTAGGTATATAGAATTTTCCATTAGAATCAAAAAAACATTTCTGCATATAAATATGAAGTAAATTGTATTCTATTGTATGTATTGCAATCAGAATGAAACATATTATCAAACAAACTGAAAATTTACCGGGTGTTCCATTTGAAAAAGTGCTATTTGTGTGCATAACTGTCAAAATATATTAGTCTTTTGTATTTTGTCCACCCTATCTAAAATTTGGAGAACAACCCTACAGGATGTTTTTTTATTTATTTAAATAACTTCAAAAATAAAGAAATTATGACACTTTGAAATGTTATCAAGATAACATGACCATCCTGTACAACATCGACAACAATGCTCAGTCCTTTTAGCCAAGTGTTGCTTTCTTTAGTAAACCTGAGACTACATTTACATTTCGAAGACCTGGCCTTTCGTTTTGAGGTGTCTGCCACAACAGCATCAACATATTTTCAAAATAGTGTTTGTATTATGTATGTACGCTAAAACCAATATTAATTTGGCCGGAGCCTCCTCAGTGTAAAACGAATATTCCAGAATGTTTTAGGGAAACTTTTCAGGAGAAAACTATAGTTATTATTGACTGCTTCGAGGTATTAACTACAAACACTATAATATAATTTTCTTACTTGAACCCATTTTTCCAAGCAGTCCTCAGCTTGTCTCAAAGAGATTTTTTTCTTTCGAAAATCGATTGAGTAGAACCTATGAAAAATATTCAGATTTTATGCAAGAATATTTAGACTAAGACCACATAGAATTGGTCGAAAATCCACAAGTGACTGAAAAAAGTTATTATATTCCCCATCATAATATTGAACGCCCTGAAAATTTGTCAACCAAGCTACGCGTTGTTTTCAATGCTAGCGCAGTTTCGCCAACAAATAATGGAAAACTTTCCTTAAATGGTCACGTTCACCAGCACTCAACATGTTGAGTGATTAGTTAACGGCTTTGTTGAAAACAGATGAAAATCAGCTCTAGACCAATCAAAACTGTTCTACCTTGTGTATTCCACTGGTTGGAACAAAGCCGTTCACTAATCACTCAACATGTTGAGTACTGGTGAACGCGACCAATGATACTCTATATGCAGGTCCCAAATTACAAAAGGTAGGTGGTAGGTAATTGTCATATATATATTTTTTTTTTTTTTGGGAGCCGCTTTTTCTTTCAGAAAACAATGCCGAAATTGTCTTTTTGGAAAACGCCATTTCTGGAAAAATTAGCTAAGATCCAGGCCTTTATGGATCAGCATAATCTCGACGTGAAAGATTTCAAAATTTCGCCGAGAATTTCTTTTTTTTTTTTTTATTTGTCACATTGTGTTTATTACATTACAATCTAGTCAGTAAGACTAATTAGCAATTTTGTTTTAACCTAATTTACTATAAAGTTTACAATTCTTGAGGTTCACTAAACAGTGTTCCCCACTTTGCTTAAACTGTAAATCACAATTTTGATGTGTTTATAGCACTATTTTGTTGTGTTTTTCAATTTCAGTTCACTAGCTCGAACGGCTTCACCCTTTTCAGTCTTCTAACTAGCTCAGTGTTGTCTAGGAGCTCAATCACTTCCACATTCACATGCCGATATAGTCTATCTTCATGGCTTTTTGCGTACTTTCTTATAGTCTCTGTTACAGTATCAATTCCTAGTTCCCGATGTAGATCTTTATTTCGAACGTACCAAGGTACATTAACAATGTTACTAAGTACTTTATTTTGGAATCTTTGAATAACTTGTATGTTACTATCTTTAGTACGACCCCAAAGTTGAATGCCATATGCCCATACTGGTTTCAGTATTTGCCTATAAAGCAGTAACTTGTTATGTATGGTTAAATTGGACGTATTGGACTATACTTAAATTCAAGCTCTTGCCTTTTT